CCCCTTGTGCCCACCAATGTGTTGAGTTAATGAGCGAGGAATTGCCTCACTACCACTCCACAAGCTGGCGTAGACAGCTTCTCCGGTCGCTTCACAACGCAAACAAATATCGTGTCGTTTACTGATGAAGCAGTCGTCGTGGTGACGCTGATTAATGAAACGATTACCGCGATTACCGCAGCGAGGTGTTCTGTTTTACCATCGTCGAATTGCGCTGTATAATTAGGCATTGGAAAGAGACGAGGGAACGTCATTGGTCAGCTTCTCTATTATATCCGTGTAGGGGATTTGATCACATAGATACTTGAAGGCGTAGATACCGTAATTGTACGATAATCCTTCCTTGAAAATGTTTTTATGTTTCATTTATTTATTGAAAGTCATTTTCAAGTGGTTTTCTGCATGTAAATGCAATATATATATATTGGGTTGGTTTTTGGACTAAAATCATGCGTTCTATCCGCTAGCAAATATGGTAATGGGAGACACTGAATAAAATATGAGTGTAAAATGCAAAATACCTGTAGAATCACCCAATTTGATATCATTATTAAATTGATATCAATTTAAAGAGAACCGTTTGGGTGCGACTAGATATATTTTGACTTTTGATTAAATTGCCTGCCAATAGTTTTCTCATTCATTGCAGGTGTGTGGTTGAATCCATTCGAGAGAAGGGCGAAGCTTTTGATTGACGTATATGTTACGATAACATCAGATGGTGTAATATGATTCGAGAGAAACTGTCAATAGTTTATAGTGATTTTATACTTATTTTTTGTGGTGGCTCAAGTTCCTTCAATATAGACATCTTTTTTATTTGTAATTTACTCTTACTATTAGGTTATTAATATTTATATCAATGTATCCATGTTAGAGATTCATAACTCCATTGGTCACGTACGGGAAATTGGTTCCTGTACAGAGAGAGAGGGAGAACCATGAACAGTATTACTCTTCATGGTTCATATATTATTATAAAAGTTGTGGCATTATTGACATCTTTTAATATATTAAAGAAAATCAATAGTGTTAACAAGATTACCTGAGAGTTAGAGTCGTAGTTCACAAATAACAAACCAATGAATTTGTGACATTCTGAAGCTGCTATTTGCTGGCGATGAGTCACAATAACGTGGCTAAAGTATGTTGACCAGACCACACACACACGTCGACTTGAGAATAGTCCAGGACGGACCGAAACGTCGTCGTCCCTACACCTTCTTGTGTGTGGTCTGGTTAACCTGCTATTTGCTGGTTATAGCTTCAGAAGCTGTTAATCTCACTGTTGAAGTCCTTGCCTCGCTGCTTCCGCTGTACGCCATCAACTCTGGTACTTAGTAGTGGCAACCAATATATTTATCAATTAAGAATGTCTGAGATCCACTCAAGGTGCTAGAACCATCAGTAAATGGGTTTGTTTCATTTGCCACTCATCAAATCTGTATCTGGTTGCTACCACCCATACATAAGTATTACATTATAAATGGGACTCAACAAGATTTGGTCGAAAACATTGTGAAAATGGATCTAATTTTACCACTATTCAATCTCAAGTAGCAGAAGGGTGCCCCCTAAGATTGAATTTCATTAGGAATTAAATAGGCAACGAAGAGGTTGAGAAACTGTGTAATGTGAGCAAAAAAGTACAAAACTATGATTAATCATCTGTGATTAGTCAAATGATTAATCTCTTTCTCAATCTTGTGAGAGATTAGAGGCAGATAATATTATCACACCAGATTTGTAAACATTAGTCGTAAATAATGATTTATTTGGGGACGTTGGTGGTAGTAAGTGATGACACTGGCTGTCCTTGAAGTGCTTTCGCCTCTAGTTTTGGGTTGTATCAACATCTCTGGGAGAAAAATTGTGTTGCTACTAAAATTTCTTGATTTTTGCCCATTGTGTAATAATTGTTAAATTTTTAATTATCGTTTTATGTAAGAGAAAAGAAGTGTAATTCTGCTACGAAACACTATATGCTTGTATATATAGACTATCATTACATAATTACAAACATTCCCCATATATATATATATATATATATATATATATATATATATATATATATATAATATATATATATATATTTATATATATATATATATATATATATTAATATCTTAAACAGAACCACAATAAAAAGTGAAAGTTAAAGGAAAGATCAAGTTAATGTAGATAACGAATAGAGAAAAAAGGAAAAGCAAAGAATAAATTACGTGAAAAAAATATATTCTCTCGCAAGACTTCTATATTTCCCCTCAAACTTTTCTCCAGTTGTCCTCTCCCGTCCATTCTTTCCCTCCCCCCCGACCCACATCCCTCTCCCACCGTCCCACTTCCGTCCCATCCTCGCTAACACTCCCTCCTGGTGCTTCAGCCCTTGAAGGGCCCCAGACTAGGCCAATAAAACCAAATGTTCCCATCTGGAAAAAGATTTTTTATTATAATATATATTTATATATATATATTTACATATATATATAAACATTTATAGCAAAATAGTCTCTGTATCCTCTAGTTCTCTCTCTACACATCTGGTACATATGGTATGTATTGTCGGGATACATACAGCCTTGCACACACACTGAAAGGACCAATGATGTTTCTTTTTTTCATTAATTTCGTTACAGGAGTCACTTGTTATGTAGTCTCGCTTCAGAAGTAGATTCTCGGTAATGTTTCAGGAGCTGCTTCTTCCTAATGTTCCAGTAGTTACTCCTCCGTAATGTCTCCCACTGTGCTAGTTTATTATGAACTTTTACATACATATATATATATATATAAAACACACTCAGTAAAAAACGCTACTCCCTGACAATAACGATGAATATACCTGATGCCAATGCATGCGTTTTAATTTGTTAATTATATGTACAATTACAATATTAACATCGTGTGTAGAGACTGTTGAAAGAAAATGGTCTTTATACAATAAAATGGTCTTTTTTATACAAAAAAATTAAATGGGGAAAGGGGTGGAGGGTCACAGTTAATGTTGGATTGATAACTGTTAGTTTCTCGTCCATTTTCACAGGATTTGGCTAATTTTGTTCTGGTAATGACAAATTATATTAATTTAATTCTGCTAAGTAATTAAGAAATTAGTATTTATTGTACTCAAAGGGTTCATAGGAAACATTTTTGTGTAAAAAACAGAAGGCGAGAGAGATTAAATGTCAGGAAAATGGCAAATGAGAGGAGAGAGAGAGAGAGAGAGAGAGAGAGAGGAGAGAGAGGAGAGAGAGAGAGAGAGAGAGAGAGAGAGAGAGAGAGAGAGAGAGAGAGAGAGAGCGAGAGAGAGAGAGAGAGAGAGAGAGAGAGAGAGAGAGAGAGAGAGAGAGAGAGAGAGAGAGAAAGAGAGAGGTATACAAACGATATAGAACCGACAGGGAAACGGACACAGTCTGACAAGAAGAGATAAAGATTATTATACCCCTGGGAATATACCCGGGGATTATATCCGGGGATTATACCCGGAGATTATACCCGGGGATTATACCCAGGGATTATACCAAGGGATTCATGGTGAAAAGAATACGAAGGAAGAAAACATATTAGACATATTTAAATTAACACAAATTAATGTGAAATTATTACTTACCTTTACATAATGCAAACTTTTATTTTTCACAAACTTTTCCTAATTCCCTTTAATAATAAAAAATAGAGATTTTAATCACAGGTTTTATGATTTTGGTGTTAAAGATGACTCAAATAAACTGCCAATATTTAACAAGACTATTTAGTGCGAGTTATAATAGTCATACTCATCCACACGAATGTTTTAGTACCAGTTAATGGGTCTCGAACCGACGAATATGCTGCCCATCATCATCAAAACCTGAATTCATCAACACATGCACAACAACGATTTAGATATCATCCAACTAATGAATCATCCTGGGTCTGATGAGGGGTGTGAAGGCCGGCATTATTAACACAGACCAGAGTTATCATATGCTTGGCATAAATGACCCAAATTCGTACATAAACTAGCAAATATTCTCAAGATGAGCATACGATGAGCAGCCTCCACGAACGTCACAAATAAACAGTTTTTTTCCTGCTGTCTGTATCAGCTCTGTTACATCACGTAACTGAGAGTGTTCTGGTCATATACGTAGCTGGAGTACAAGTCTGCCCAATATATTGTATTTTCTCAACACCCAGGATTTTCGTTGTTAATTCTCAGGTCAGTGATTACGGATTATCTGAGTCGTCAGGCGACGTTTGGAAATGGTCTGTTGTCATAAACATACTTTGAGAGGAATCTGTGTGGGTTTTTACTGCGGTTCCGATGTCTTGATAACATATCTGATATCATGAGGTTACTGGATACCAACCCAGACTCTGTAGAGGCTCTAGACTTACACTGTCTTATAGATAATAACACTGTGATAAGTATCCTTTCCTTTGGAGTGAGAGAGGTGAGGTGATACGACTTCAATGTCCTGATTCTGATGGCCATATGTCCTGTCGCCTCTGAAGGATTTTTTTCCGCTGTGGTGAAGGAATGGATGAACGATGAGGGAGTCTCTAGGCGACGCTGATCAGATGGTCAGCTAGAGGAACAAATCTCGAAGCCACAGATGTTGACTTAACAGCAGAGCCATGACACCTGCCTCGCATGTGGCTCTTGTTTCGTAACCTGAAATAAACAGGTGATATTATTGCTGATTAACATCAAATGTTTTTTTTTAAGACGTGTAAGAGTCAAGAATTAATTAAGGAAATTAAGTGCTAGTGAGAGGTGTTTTGTCGTTGTCGTTTTAAAGAAATCTTATTGTAAAGTAGTTAATATTATTATTATTATTACGGAGAGGTTTTCATGTTAATGTGTATGAATGTGTGTTTGTGTGTATGTTAACCGATATGTGGGTGTGTGTCAATGAACTTGTAAAGGTGTGTTTGTTAAGCGACTATGCGTGTGTGTATGTGTGTTAGCGTGTGTACAGACATGCTGTGCTTGTGAAATTATGCTTGTGTGTGTGTGTTGACTCACACGATTGCGTGTGTGCGTGTACATGGATGCATAAATGAATTATCCACGAAAACGTTTTTTTTTTTTTGTTCACTGGTGAAATAACCTACAAGTAGATTTCACCTATACGTGCTTGTAAGTCGAGCATATCAGCTCAAGGGCCTTTCAGTAGCCAATCAAATACATTTGCAATACCTCACGCTACTTCTGTTCATAATACCTACTCCTGACAATTTTATTTGAAATTTACATGTTATACCAACGCCTCTATAACTCATTCCACTAGCACACTACTATTGCACATAACAAGTGTTCTCTCTAGATGACCATCACTCAACCGATTTTCTAGTTACCCACACACACACACACACACACACACACACACACACACACACACACACACACACACCACACACACACACACACACACACACACACACACACACACACACACACACACACACACACACACACACACACACACACACACACACACACACACACACACACACACACACACACACGCACACACACACACTTAATCTTTCCCTGTTCATAACGAAAGTTTCGTTTGAGTACAATTTCCTCAGTGACTTATAATTATGTATGTTTTTTATCGTATTTCTTCTCCTTTCTCTTGTATAGTTCTGTAGAAGCCTAACTCTCTCAGTTTTTGTTATGGACGGAGTGGAAGATGGTGCCAGATCTCCTGTGATTATGGAGATTTATAATATATAAAGGTATTATAATTGGTTGTATGATGCACATCTGTGATATGAGCTTCAGCAAAATTTGCTGGAGATGTGCCGGAGATACTTTTTTTGGATACATACTTCTGGCGAAATTGACCAAGACTGCGGGGTATACTGGTATACCACTAGCCAGGATATACGGGGTATACTGGTATACCACTATGCAGGACACATAGTCTTATACGTTTGATGAGTTCCCTCAAATCAAAGTCGTGGCTGAACGTGCGGTCACCCATGTAATTACTGACTGAACCTAATGGAGGGGGAGTTGCCTAAACCTCACTGAGTGAGTGTTGCGATCAATGTAAGTTAGATATCTGGATATCGTTGCTTTCCACTTCGAACCTCAGGCGATCCCAGCGATCACTAACGACTACCTTAAGCAGCACAAATATTGCAATCATTCAAGCATGCTAGCGTGCAACCTCCTGTACCATACGAAGGCTTTAATCTAGTTCCTAAGCTACATTAAGTATTCCTTTTTTTATCTAAACAACATGAATCAACGTCTTGATATTTAGGAGGAAAGAAAGAGGGAAAACCGAGACTATTTCAGACTGATAGGAAGTGCAACTCAGAATACAGAAAAGCAAGAAGCGGGCCCCCTTAACAACAGAACTGCATGCTAAGCAAGCCAAGGCTAGAATCACCCATATACGAATGTGGGATGGTCTTACTTGTTTTATTGTCTAAAAGGTTAATCCTAGCTATGTTTTTAGATTTTCTGTTGCCGTAATGGTGATCCCGGGAGGGAGCGGACTGGACGTCAGGTCCTGGAGGCGTCACCACACACACATAAACAGCAGAGCACCACACACAGCAGACAGTGCAGGAAAACAGCAGAGAGTACCATTCAGCAGCAGACGTAACCGGACACCAGCAGAGCAGCACAAGAGAAGGGATGAAGAAAAGTTACACTCTTTTTTCATGATAAAAGAGCAGGTTAGTGCACAATAGGCTTAAGCTTAAAAAAAAGTAGGAAACTTGTAAATGTATTATACTTTTTTGGCTGTATTTCACTATTTCACTATTTCCTGTAAATAGGAGCTATCTTGCATGATGCAAGGGGAACCTTAAAACTGCTTCTTCTGTTCTTTAATTCAAATAATATAGGAGAGATAGTCTTGTTGAACCCTTTCATCAATCCCTATACGACCTATTGCAACGTGAGCTTAAAGGTTCTTCGATTCTATATGAAAAACAGTTCACTTTCTGATATTACCACCTCGAACCCTCGACCATAATAATCACACACACACTATCTACCAAACTCTGCTGGCATTGATATTGACCCCTTTATACAATACTACCGCCTGTGTACAATAATATACCCATCTGTGTATATTGTATTTGTAGTCTCTGTTTTAATATTCCCTGTGTTATCACTCATATTTTGCATCACAGCACTTGGTCTCGCTGTTGTCACCCATCCATAGGATACTCATCAGGTTACTCATGTTACTCACACCACCAGCATGTTACTCAGAGTTATCTACAATTTAAAGATATTTACCTACTATTGACCTATATGGAATATTACAATTCCCTTATTTTTTTATCATAAAGTCTTAACGTCTAAAAAATTCAGTCTTAACCCAGAAAAGCGTTAGCATGTATACAGTGTTATTATGCGTCAATGTTATCTTATGATTGATGACCCCCTGATGTAACAAATCCATGAGGTTATCACCCTTAATGTAACAAAACCCATGGTGTTATCTCCCTTAATGTAACAAATCCATGGTGTTATCACAGCTAATATAACAAACCCATGGTGTTATCACCTTTAATGTAGCGCACATTGGGTGTTATCACCCCTAATGTAACAAACTCATTGTGTTATCACCCCTTAATGTAACAAACCCATTGTGTTATCACCCCCTAATATAACAAACTCATGATGTTATCACCCCTAATGTAACAAGCCAATAGTGGTTTCACGTCATAATTGTACATCCACAATTTCATCATGATGGTGTTGGGCTATCTAACTGTAGTCTCAATAACAATGTTATCAGCATCACTGAGTTGTATCATCCTGTCTTATCTTTCCACACACACATCACTATCCCCTCCCCCCTACCCCACCACATCACCATCCACCCACATATCACCATCCCCCACATATCACAGCCCCACATCACAATATCTCTCACCATCACCACCACCACACACTACGCCAACAATCATCCCTCGGAAGAGACGACATCAACCCATCATCAAGGTTAGAAAATCACCATCACTGAGGTCAGACCATCACTATCACCAACACCTGTGACTCAGAAACATTAAACTAAATCCAGAATTACTCCTGAGGGCCTCCACGAATCAGTTAAGGTGCTCTGGTGCCCTAACTTAGAATGGTGCGATGCCCTAAACTTAGGGTGATGTGTGTGTGTGTACCCCCAAACCAATTATACTTCAGGAACTAACTGTTTCGTCTGACTATGCTAATGAACTTTCTGCTAGTCTGGTCCAACGTATGCAGATGCCGAAACTGATATGCGTGTACCTGCTCTGAATTAGCCTGTTCTTCTGACTTACCACTACGTTAAAAATGCAACTGTTTTACCCAATCCAGGACCAGGATTCATTAAGCATTTATGTTGCAACAACTAACGAAGCCTCTACATCCTTCAACAATTAAGACGTAAACTATTTATCAAACAGTTTACGAGTTTTGGAACATCATAACCCAAGGTTGTTATTGTTATAAACTACCTCGTAGTGATTCGGAGTTTACAAACCTGTTTAATAAATGTATACAAAGCTGCCATATTTCAGTAAAGATGTACAGGTTCCAAGAACCCAATCAATCTACCTAACCTATATTAAGGCACTTTATTCTTTGCTAAAAAAGTATTTTTTTGTTGTTTAAGGTTTACAGTATTTTCAGCTGATTCAGTATTTTGAAGATACATGCTTTATGATATATTTTTGGGGGGTTGACAGAACACCTCTTTCCGGCTTCTGGTCTGTGGAGCCAAGTGGTATTGGGCCACTTGCAATAGTCGGTTTTTAAGGTAATGATTTATCCGGCTTTAGTCTGGAGGTTGGACAGTAATAGTTGGCTTCCCAGAGTGTTTTTAATCCGGACAATATTGACATTATAGTGTCTCGACAGGATTGCCAACCTTACATTTTTGGTAATATTTACAGTGTTACCACCGCAATACCTCGGTATTAGTATTTTTTCAAGGCATAAACGATGTGTTCTACAGAGTATAGTGTCCCGTACCGAGTTACCATCCCTGTAGTCTAACAAGTGTAGCTATCAATACACTGTATCTCCAGGTACTCCGTCACATCTGCTAGTACTCATAAACACCTGTTAGTACCCCACACACACCTGCTATAGTACCCACACACACCAGTCAGCACCCACACACACTTGCTAGCACCCCACACACACCTGCCATAGTACCCCCATACACCTGCTAATCGCAAGTGTTATCGGTTATCAGGAAGTGTCACAAATCGTGTAATTATTCCCGTGGACTTGACTTACATGGACTTAAATCCCATGGACTTGACTTACATGGACTTAAATCCCATGGACTTGACTTACATGGACTTAAATCCCATGGACTTGACTTCCATTAACACAGGAGTTTTCACAAGACAAATGAGATGAAACAATTATACATTCCTTCGAGAGTTCATGGGTGAAAGTTCAATCCCATCTCACAGTCTCAATATTTTAGAAAAATACTGAATTTTACGATTTAATTGTGCATTATGCTAGATTAAACATATGCATTTGCGAGTGTTCCAAAAAGTCTTTTTGGATTAGTATTTACTTTTAATAATTACTTTACAGTGAATCTGAGTCTTTGTGAAAATCAATTTCCGTGGATCAGCTAAACAGTAGGTATTAACAATTTCACCATCGCTTCATTATATATTAAATCAAGTCAACTATTGATAAATGGAGACTTACTGCAGGTTTCAACATTTCAGAATTCCTCCCCTAAATGACTATATCCCCCCATTGGTGAATTTAACCCTGTCCCCCTCCATTTAACCCTGTCCATGGAGGACAGAAGAAAATGTATATAAGCTGGTTAGCATTGTAAATGTGTGGCCACGTTTGTGGTAGAAAATAATAATAATAAAAAAAACTGGTGTATTACTACGGGGGTTATTCAATCGCTGACCTAAATGAGCATTTGTTTATCTTTGCTTTTTAGAGCTGGTAGTTGGAGGAGGAGAAGGAGAGGAGGAGGGGAAAACGACTGCGACTAAAATTCCCTAAAATTCACGATTTACAACGACTAAAATTCACGATTTACAACGACTAAAATTCACGATTTACAACGACTAAAATTCACTATTTACAACGACTAAAATTCACGATTTACAACGACTAAAATTCACGATTTACAACGAATAAAATTCACGAATCGTAACGACTAAAATTCACGAATCCTAACGACTAAAATTCACGATTTACAACGACTAAATTTCACGATTTACAACGACTAAAATTCACGATTTACAACGACTAAAATTTACGAATCAGAAACGCATTCTGAGGCACACTCAACACCATGGCTCAACACATCTTCAGTCTGTGCTCGTCTGTGCTCGTCTGTGATACGAAAGCTCCCAAAGACGTAGTCTTCAATTTTCGTTTACCCATTGTTGCAAATCTCGGGATGCAAGCCACAACAGCTTGTCTTGCTCCTGAGTGTAACGAGGCGTTACACCCAGGAGCTTCGCCCAGCCAGAGAATCGAACTCGAGTCCAGTAATTTTGTAAACCAATTTCGCTAATAGTTGTACTACCGATCACCGGCGATGTTGCTGGATTAGCGAGAATTGGCTTAGTGTTTATGATGCGTTTAGTGTTGGGCTGAGGACATATCAACCTTTGGAGGGTATATCATGGCCACCACAATATACTGCCCATCCAGCGAGGTATACTCTACACCTGAACATTGCCCAAAACTAAATTTAAACTCTCAGTGTATATTCACACCAAGAAATGGAGTATACATCTCGCTGTATACACATCTCAGGTGTAGCATATCGTGAGCCACTTAAGGAAATGTATCTTTGAGCATTTCCAAATGTTTTACCTACTAATATGCGAACAAAGATTGAAACAACATTTGAAAACTGAGCAATTGATATAAATTTGAAAGGTTTACACTCAGGGGTAGACCTCAGTATATAGTGGTATGGAAACAGGAGGGTTGATTTATGAAACAGTTTACAGGGTAACGTAATTGACGTGGGATCAGTGGATTGTTTCAAGCGTAGGTTAGATATATATATATTGAGGAATTTGAGTGGATATGAACCCCTTCATCTACAGGCACTCGAAACCCTCAGTTATAATCACTGAAACCCTCTTATACACTCACTCAAACACTTCCCTACACTCATTTAATCCCTCACTCAAACACCCACTTACTCTCAGACAATAATACACACTCTCTCCTGCAATCACTCAAAGACTCACTCAGTCACTCACACACACACACACACCCATCTAAACACTCCCCTACCTACTCAAACCTCTCACTTAAAGTCACTATAAAACCCTCACTTTGACTCACTCAAATCCCTGTTGTAATCGCCAAAATACTGCAACACCAACTCACACAAGCATATGTATTCCCTGTTGATTTTCCCCTGGCACTCAGGCTGGTTTAATATGCTGGTCTTGCTGATGTGTGGCACAGAGACAGTGTCCTTATCAGGAAAGCTTAATCAAGATTGTTATATGGGAAGCTGAGGGAAAATCCTAGTTAACAGGAGTTTGAGGTGGATTAGTCTGTGACTGTCTTTAGCCTGTGGCTGTGTTTAGTCTGTGACTGTCTGTGTTTAGTCTGTGGCCCACACCCTTCATATCTGGTCCAATTTAACCCATAAGTGTAAATGGTGTCAGGTGTAGCGGATTTTGTATTCTTGGGGACTTTTTTTTTGTATATATATTAAAAAGTCCAATTCTGTCGCCCCCGTCTAGAGAAATTTGGACTCACCCTTGGAGATATCTGGAGATGTGTTGACTAACAGTGGCGCCGTCAGATTCTTGGCGTTGTCATCGTAGTCCCCGTACACCAATGGTGGCGGCGGCGGGACTGTGGTAGTGGTGGTAGTGGTGGTAGTGGTGGTGGTAGTGGTGGTTGTTGGGGGCAGAGTCGTCGCTACCTCTACAACAGAGAGAGAGCATCCCTAGTCTAATTATTTATCACCAAAGAAGATGAAATATCTTACCAAGGTATGATATCATACTAATGTAAGTTATTTCAGGAGAAGAAGAATGGTGATATCATACCAATATGTGATATACATTGGGGGTTCTATTAGAATAGATTATAGGATCCCAAAGTATATTAATAATTATTATTTTATTATATTTTTTAATTATATAATTTCCTATTACACCTCATAAACAATATTAACGTATTATTGAGTTTAAATTATGATATGTAATTGAGTACTTAGTTCAAATATGTGTCTGTCTCCTCATTTTTATTTCAGGCACACTAACTCAGAGGACACTACTGAAACAATATGTGCTTTGGGTACATAAATACTCAGAAAATGGAGTATATATATACATATTCACCTTATGGTGCATTTTCTTTATCAGTGTATATTCTCTGAGTGTACTGAACTATATTCAGGATGGGTATATATATATATATACCTGTTAATTGGTTATTAAGGCTTCTGGCACAGCCTTAATAACTCTCCATAGGTTGTTAGGCAAAATTCACGACACCAAACAAAGGTCTATGGGAATGGTTTCTTTAGAAACGGTATAAAGTAGCCGTTATAGTCAAGCAGTCGTTCGGTGATTATGGCGATGGCTGATTATGCTCTGATAGCCCTTGCGTAAAGGTGCCCGTTGTGTGGAGGTAGCCGTTATGGTCAGGTTAGCCGACATAAACAAACGGTGTGCCTACGTCCGCAAGTCCTTCAATGTTACATATAAGTCGATTCTCTCACAGAGAGAGAGAGAGATCCTTCCAACTGATCAAGAAAACTGTTTATGTTGGCACTTTGCTACTGTGTTGTATTCAGTCTATGGCATGAGATTTTATCGCGTGTAACACTTAATTTAATCTTCACAATACACTTATACCTTCTTAGATTGTGTTGACGGCATTTTTATGTGATCTAGTGAAGGAATCTAGTTTTGCAGACATCCACAAGACTTCCTTCTTGTTGAAGGAATCTTGCCATGCAACTGTCAACTACTCAACTCAACCCGAATTCAATTGAAAACTGGCTCTGCTGCCAGGTCGGAAATTCTGCAGAATTTGTAATGTCTGCTGTCATTTATCATTACCTAAATATTTACAATTCCCACTAATACTAAGCTGATTGGATAATTCCTTGTAAGTGGTCCCCAGTCAATATATTTCCCAATACCACCTCCACAATTTCAGAGAATGACACATGCAGTGGCAGTCAGACTGTGAAGATAATCTTTATGCCTCGCTAGTTAACAGTAATTACCATTAAGTGTCTTAATTAACATCCCTAGGGACTCGCCATCTGCATGACCTGACTCGGCTATGGAGAAGGAAATAATACTTAACATCGACCATTGAATTCGTTAAAACATATATATATATATATGACTGAAAACTCACACCCCAGAAGTGACTCGAACCCATACTCCCAGGAGCAACGCAACTGGTAACTACAGGACGCCTTAATCCGCTTGACCATCACGACCGGACATATATTGTCCTGTAGTTACCAGTTCCGTTGCTCATGGGAGTATGGGTTCGAGTCACTTCTGGGGTGTGAGTTTTCAGTCGCATATAGTCCTGGGGACCATTCAGGCTTGTTTTATATATATATATATATATATATATATATATATATATATATATATATATATATTTGACATGTCCTGGAAAATATATATTGCATGCTGAGTCAATGTTAATAATGTTGACAACAACAATATAAATAGAGTGCAATGTAATATTCAAATACATTAAAAATATTAATTTTATGACAATTAATATTGGAAGATGGTGTAAATAAAAGTCTCCAACACCGCTGGAAATATAGACCATGGAAAATTTCACACAGTACACAGAATGATGAGGAACACAGTCATTGAGAAGTATTGATGTACTGGAGAATACAGACAGCTTGTTGTTGTTAAAGATTCGCTACCTGGAACAAAACGCACCAAGTAGCACGGGCTATGGTGAGCCCGTAGTGTCTTTACAGACAGCACTCACCTCTTAGACTAGGGCCCACAAGATGTGAAAAATAGAAGTAAACAACAAAAATTGTCTTTGAAAATGTAAGACGTGTTCTTGCGAAACGCTTCTAGTCGTCAGACCATAAATGAAAAGTGAACTTTGGAGAGTTAATTTTTCAACTACCCCCGAAAAGTGTAGTCCAAGACTCAGTCAACACCACTAACCTCTCAAGTTATTCCCCTCTCCTAATATGGTCTCCAAGTGTCCTAGACAACATAGATCTCCCTCAGATCAGTCTCCAAGCACAGGAGAACACAGACAAGACTCACCTCTCAGGATAGTGGTAGCCTGAGCCTCCCCCAGGAAGTTCTTCACGATACAGGTGTAGATCCCAAAATCTGAGGGCACTAAGTTTCTCATCTTAAGTGTCATGTTGTGCCTGCAAAGAGACAACATGTGGGAGTGATGTGCTCGGAGCCACCACACACACACACACACACACAACATTGCTAAGAAAATATTGAAATCATTCAATAGGATCGAACAGGCATCATATTGAACTCCTCAAGCACACGCACAACCGACTTAACCATAACGCTATCTCAAGCAGACTACTTGACTTACCTTATGAATGTTCTCACACATATATCACCTCCTTATTCTCATTTTGCATTCACTGTGAACGTTGACCAGGGGAGAGGCGAGTCAGACTCTCCATAAGAGCTCCCTGACATTCACTATGTAGTGAGAGGGAGGGTGCAGGGAGAGAAGAAAACCGTCATGGTTCGTATGCAATATCTCCTGGTTGCCCCCTTCCCTTGTGGGAGGGGGGGAACCAGGAGATATGGAAGAGGGAAGGATATTCTTCATCATGTGTTGATATGTAATGGGTTCGAGAGAGGAAGTCTGGAGGCTTCCTGGGAAAGATATAAGGGATTTAATATTATGTAAAGACCAATATAAATAGTTTTTAATGTGTGTGTGTGTGTACCCACCCAGCTGTGCCTGTAAGAGGCCGAGCTCTGGCTCTTTGGTCCCGCCAACTCAACCGTCAATCGACTGGTGTACAGATTCCTGAGCCAACTGGGCTCTATCATATTCACATTTGAAACTGTGCATGGAGTCCGCCTCCTCCTCCACATCATTGCTTAATGTATTCGGCGACTAAATAAAAGTCGCCAACACCGATGGAAATAGAGGCCATGGAAAATTTCACACTGATGTACAGTACGCAGAATGATTAGGAACACAATCAGTAAAAAGTATAGGTGTACTGAACTGGTCTGTACACACACACACACACACGTGTTGTGTGTGTGTGTGTGTGTGTGTGTGTGTGTGTGTACTCACCTAGTTGTGTCTGCAGGATCGAGCATTGACTCTTGGATCCCGCCTTTCGAGCATCGGTTGTTTACAGCAATGACTCCTGTCCTATTTCCCTATCATACCTGGTTTTAAAATTATGAATAGTATTTGCTTCCACAATGTGTGTGTGTGTGTGTGTGTGTGTGTGTGTGTGTGTGTGTGTGTGTGTGTGTGTGTGTGTGTGTGTGTGTGTGTGTGTGTTCGTGTGTTTGTTTTGCAACAAAGGGTTTATGTATTACGTCAACTAATACCATTCCTCAAGCTTTTCAAGAAATTTCAAGTGCACACAAAACCTCAAATATAGGCGTTTTAAGTTAACATGTACAGACTTCGAAGTAACTTTATCTGTGTTATAATTATGTATATTATCCTATTAAATTGTTAAGTTAATATTGATGTAATTATTGTTATAATTTAGTTATTATTAATTAGTTTTTGATCATTTTTATTCCTTATCAAAAAACTTTGGAGAGTTTTGACTTTCTTATTTAATTATAATTAGAATAAGAGTTATTATTATTATTCATTGATCAACCATCAAAATAAGGTTCATTATATTTTAGTATTACTCCAAGAATTTGTATTCATCGATGGATAATATTGGATTTTGTATAATCCGTTTGGATATTAATGCATTTTGGATACGCTTTGGGCTCGAACACATGACGTGTGAGACTTGGGATGGTTTCAGGTCTGAGCGTGACGCAGAGAGAGATGAGATAATTATGAAGTAGTTATGAGTTAATTAAGTGGTCATTACGTGGAGAATATTCTAAGCCAGTAGTTCTATATAACACTTGGAAAGGATATGAGGACAAAGAGCTGGGATACGATAAAGGCAAAGAACTGAACCTAACCACTTGGACCAACGGACATCGAACGCCGACCTGCAAGAACGCCTTCCTTGAAGATTTCCTCAGGGACACCATCGGTAATCAACACCCCCCCCCCCCCCTCCTCTGACAATAACCTACAAGATGAATTAAACAGGAATATATCCCCTTCCTACCAGGATAGATAATGCTCCGAAAACCATGACCAAACCAAGGACCTGCCCCCCCCACCCAAAAAAATCTAACATTTCAGATAGAAATGTTTCTCCCTCAGAGTTCAACCCTCTTATCTCAAGAGTTCTTAATCTGGATTTATCGCCAGAATACATCATGGTCCATAAATTTAGGAAGTGGGGGGGAGTCTGGAGCGAAGTTAGTGGTCTATAGTAAGCACTTAGCAACGTTTAATGGAAGGATGGTCAATTTGGGAGAGGGTTTTTTCTTCACCTGAGAAGGCTGCAAGCCACACATGGCTGACGAAAGTCAATACTGGAACACGCTTCAGGTATTGGGTCGTCGCAGCATTTACTGTACTGTGGTGGTTAGTGGGCATTTTGTCGGACGTCAACGTGTATGCCTTCAGAGAGAGAGAGAGAGAGAGAGAGAGAGAGAGAGAGAGAGAGAGAGAGAGAGAGAGAGAGAGAGAGAGAGAGAGAGAGAGAGAGAGAGAGAGAGAGAGAGAGAGAGAGAGAGAGAGAAACAGAGACAGAGACAGAGAAAAGAGAGACAGATGGCTTCCAATTAGTTCGTTTTAGTGGTGCAGGTGGTCAGACACAGTAGGCGGTGGAGGTATTTGGGCGCCGTCCAGGCCCCTGTGAGAGAGAGAGAGAGACAGAGAGAGAGACAGAGAGAGAGACAGAGAGTCAGAACACCGCCTCCTCCCATCATGCCTATGACAGGACCCGCCGTCGTCAATACTTGAGGTGTTGTGTACTGATGTCCGAATATTTTCCCACCACCTGCCTCTTGTGGTTTCTCTTCGTCATTCTGGTGTTTGGTTCTTGTATGCGTGTACTCACCTACAGGGGGCCTGACGGCTGAGTGGGGAGCGCTCGGGATTTGTTGTCCTAAGGTTCCGGGCTCGAGCCCTCGGCGGAAACAAATGCTAGAGTTTCTTTTAACATGATGATTCTGTTCACCAAGTAGTAAATAGGCATCTGGGAGTTAGACAGCTGCTACGACCTGCTTCCTGGGAATGTGTAACAAAAAGGAGGCCTGGTTGAGGACCGGGCCGCTGGGACGCTAAGCCCCGAAATCATCTCAAGATAACCTCAAGATAACCTTTTGCTGGGATTGGCAGGCCGGAGCATTGGCACTTTTCCCCTTCCTTTAAAAGTCTTGGCTCTTTGAAGTAATTGTTCTCACACATTTCTTATCATATTTAAATTTTACATTAATTGATCTAGCTTTAACCACTTGCTTTCTAATTAATTATACTTATCTCAAACACTAAAGAAACTCTATTTATCTCTCGGACTCTTTTTTTTTTTTGCGTCTCTAGTTTCCACCTATGTTCCATGTTCTGTTGTTGCAAAATTTATATATTGTTTCTTTACTTCGTCAGTTTCTAATAAAATTTTGTATGTCGCTGTCATGTTTCCCGTATTCCAGCTTCTGGCTATGCTTGTCCAAGTCATGGCTGCCCTTAAGCTATATTTGTTAATTTTACAAACTCTACAGTAAATATCAACAATTTTCTCACTCACACGCACACACACACACACAAAACACACACACACACACACACACACACACACACACACACACACACACACACACACACACACACACACACACACACACACACACACACACACACACACATACACACACACACACACACACACACACACACACACACACACACACACACACACACACACACACACACACACACACACACGTTCACAACAAGATCAGAATGGTGGAACATCCAGAAACAAACCAATGTTATGAGAATGAGTTAATGCTATCAACAAAAATTCTAATGCAGTCAATCGTAAATGCTGTGTAAAACACCATTTTTCGCCCATAAATAACTAAAAAAAAAACGCTGCTAGAGTAACTAACATCCTCCCAAATGAGTTGAGGATGAGCGTCTGAGTAACATGAATAAAACCCACACGAGTAACTCACGTATAAGGCGGGTGACCATCCTGAGGAGTGACGGTGAAGTATTCATCATTCAACATCTGCGATCCAAGAAAATTTTCTCTCATCCACACCACTCTAGGAGTAGGATGAGCGGTGAAGAGACACGTGAGGCTCACTGTCGACCCCATGGATGCCCACGTGGTTGGCTTAGGGCCCTTGACCTCGGGGCCGTAGTTGACATTAACAATCACCCGTTTGCTGATGGAGGGTGGATGGCCGTTGCTAGCGATGCACAGGTAACCACCAGCGCTGCGTTGATTGACCTCCTGCAGGAGTAGAGTGCTCCCGACGTAGTCCGACACTGCAGGAGATGAGGACAGCTCACCTTAGGTCTTTCAGGCAAGCAAGGAGAATATAGCGTTTGTTACGAGGAAGATATATATAACTTCAATCTGAATTGATGCTATATTAAAAAATATATATAAAATACCCAAAGGTGTGTGTGTGTGTATATAGGAGTGAATTCATGAACTCAGCTATACATAGTTAACTATATTCATGGTTAGGTTTATTCTATTCGTGTATATGTATATACATGGTTACTAGAATTGGAATAATTTGTATTCATGGTTTATCAGTGATCGACTAATCACCTAATCGCCTATTTTCAGTTATACTCATGGATGCTTGTTTAGCAATACTTACCCATTGAGTTGTGCCCATCAGCTAGGCACACTTACTCATACTCACCTAAAATACCTATGCTCTATGCCACCTACTCATCTACATGAGTTGTGCTCATCAGCTAGGCACACTTACTCATACTCACCTAAAATACCTATGCTCTATGCCACCTACTCATCTACATGAGTAATTAGCGTATGTAGTTAATTATTGTAGTTATTAATTATTAACTAATTATCGTGACTCATTGTCTGCACATGAGTAATTAGCTGTATTCATTGTCACATATACATATATTTATATATTTATATATTTATATATTTATATATATATATATATATATATATATATATATATATATATATATATATATATATATATATATATATATATATATATATATATATTTATATATAGGCCTCATCATATAATATTCACCTATAGATTTTAACTCCTGGCTGCCTATACCTATGCATGTATCTCCACATATGTGTGTTCTCACATACGGTATACTAATATAAGTGTGTCCCACATATAATTATGTCCCAATATACACTACTAAAACTTAACGATAAATACAACGTTACTTATGTATTACTTACATTTAACTAAATTCATTAGTAGAAAGATGCGTAATTTGATATTATAGATAAGCGTAGGAAGAAGGGTATACAATGAAGAGAGAGAGAGAGAGAGAGAGAGAGAGAGAGAGAGAGAGAGAGAGAGAGAGAGAGAGAGAGAGAGAGAGAGAGAGAGAGAGAGAGAGAGAGAGAGAGAGAGAGAGAAAGAGAGAGAGAGACAGAGACAGACAGACAGAGACAGACAGACAAAGACCCCACACTGCACAATACGAGCACACACATATATATTACCAAAGTGGGCGTCGCTGATCCTAATACTGTCATAGTCCTCTCTGATCCACCTGACTGTTGGTGTTGGCGTGCCGTGAGCTCGACAGGTGAGGTTGGCCGCTGCGCCTCTGTTGACCGTCACCTGTTCATCCCCTCCATCTAGCACCGGTGGCTCTGTTGGAAGAGACCCTCATGAACAAATCCACAAGGGCCGTGACGAGGATTCGAACCTGCATCACGATGCATCAAATGCCCTTGTGGATTTGTTCATTTGATGCATCACGTTAGTGTGATCTCTGTGTGTGAGGCACTCATGGCTGGGAAGGTGATGGGAGGTGAAGTGGAGATGGGAGAGGGGAAAGGGTGGATGGTTATGGTAAGACCATTCACGAATGAGGAATAGGGAAAAGGAATGGCTGGGAATGGTAGATTGTATAAAAGATTGTAGATTGATTGTAGGTAGATTGTGATGGTTGTCGGGAAGACGGTAAATAAACTCCGAGTATTTGAATGGAAAGTATATGCATAGATATATGTAGAAATAATGCCAGGAATGCAGAGTAGGGAAGAAAGGATGGAAGAGGAATAATGGAAGAATAAGAGTGAAGAAGGAAGGATAGAAGAACAAGGGTGAGTAAGAAAACATTCGAGAATGAAGGGCAGGGATCTAAGTACTTATCGAGAAGAAGACATCAGAAGAAAGGTGAGATAAATGAGAGACTTGGAGGAGAGAAGAGAGAAGGACAAAGAACTGACAACAAAGATGGGAAGGGAGGATAGGAAGAGATCGATAGGGAAGGCAAGACAGGGAAAATCAGGTAGAAGAGGAAAGGTAGGAAAAGTAAAAAAGTTAGGTGATTTAAGGTTGGAAAAATAAGTTAAGGAAAGCGAGGAAAAGATTAGACAAGGAAGGATAGGGAAGCCAAAGAAGATAGGGTAAGACAACTGAGATTACGCACATAAGGCAGAGAGAATAAGGCAGGGTAGATAAGATAAGGAAGGCTAAGAAAGATGACGTTACCCAAGGAACCTCAGACGAGGAATGTAGGGCAGGATAGGAAAGTTAGGGTAAGTAAGCTACAAAAGGGTGTCCAGTTAATCAAGCAAAAAGATGGTAGCCATGGTAGGTAAGGAAGGAGAGGTAAGGTAACAGCGTGATAGGTAAGATAGGTAGGTAGGGTAGTCTGGGGGAAAAAAAAGATGTATATACAAAGCTTCGGGGGGAAATACAGATACCCACAAATATTATTTTGTTCTCTCTTTTTTTGTTAGTAACAAAAGCTGTTGAAAGTTTCCTCTTTCAATAAACCTTCAACGGCAGAGAAGTTAGAGCAATTTACAAAAGAAACCGAATCCCCCCTCTCATAGTACACCAACAGTTCCAATGACTTATATATTCCAATCACTTATATATATATATATATATATAACACTTATAAATTCTCTCACCCCCAGGTCCACCCCATTTCTCCTCACCCCAGGACTTCACCCCCAAATCCTCCCTCCTCCCCCAGGGGGCTCCACCCCCCACTCACCCCATACCCCCTCACCCCCCCTCCCCCAATCCTGCGGTATCCACAATTCTTAACCTCGTTTTCACGGCGGTTGCTTCAAGCTGTAGCCCAGCTGTCTTCCCCAGAGTCCTCCCCTCTCATTCTCACTATTCTCTCCTGACCTGACTCTTCTCTCTCTCTATTTTCCTGCACAATTTTCCCCCCTCGGTTTTTCCCCTTTCCTGGTTATACGTGTTCTCCTCTCATGCGCATCTCCTGATTACTCTTTCTCTCCTACACTTCCCTCTTAACATATTATCTGCTTGATTTGCATATTCTCTTTACAGCTGCGACGAGAATTGGATATTTACTGGAAATGTGTGTGTTTTTATTGTCATGATTCTGCATGGGAAGCCGGTCGGCCGAGCGGACAGCACGCTGGATTTGTGATCCTGTGGTCCTGGGTTCGATCCCAGGCGCCGGCGAGAAACAATGGGCAGAGTTTCTTTCACCCTATGCCCCTGTTACCTAGCAGTAAAATAGGTACCTGGGTGTTAGTCAGCTGTCACGGGCTGCTTCCTGGGGGTGGAGGCCTGGTCGAGGACCGGGCCGCGGGGACACTAAAAAGCCCCGAAATCATCTCAAGATAACCTCAAGATATGCCTGTTCTTCTCTAACTCTGGATATCTGTTCACTAACTTACTATGGATATCTGTTCACTAACTTACTATCAGGATATCAGTTTCACTTCCACTCTGGATAACTATTCATTTCAACTCTGGATATCTGTTCACTCTCACCCAGGACAGGCAGTCAGAGCCCAAACTCAGATTTCCCACCCAATCAGATTTTCCGCGAGGTTCTCACCCACAACAGCGAGGAATCCCGAGATGGATCGCGGTGGGGAAGTGTTGACCTGACACCAGTAGTGACCTTGGTCGTGCATGGTGACGTTAGCAATGGTCAACACCCACGTGGACCGCTGCTCCCGCTGGATCGAGATACGAGGGTTGTTCGTAATGACCTGCGTTGCTACTGTCAGTACCGCTCCTGTACCCTTGTAGCCCCACGCCACCTGTCAGTGGAGATGAGACAGGTACAGACAGGTATTAAAGGTGTATAATTAGTAGGGAAAAGCAGGCCAAGCAATCAAGATTATATAGCTACGTGAGACCATATATTTATATATAATATTTTAATCTCACATGTGACCGGTATATATAACAGTTATGTGGATGTGGGTGGTTGTAATCAGATGTTTTATGTGGACTTTTAAAACGTTACGTAAACAAAACATCTGCCACAACATATGTGGCAGGTGTTTTACGTCCATTGTTGAAGTGTTTTCTTCCTCTGGTCTCACCCCCCCCCCAAATGAAAGTGAGACCAGGGGTATTGTTGATAATGATACTAATAATGAGGATGAGGATAAATATATTGGTGATTATGATGAGTATGATGATGAATATCATGATAATGATAATGTTTCATGAATATTCCTCATGTAAAAAAGTAAAATCTAAACATATGAGAACATTTTTTTCCCACAATGAATTACAGGAATTATTATAAGTTTGATATGGACAGATTCTTGAATGTATATTTGACAGGTGGAATACTTAACGAGTAGTATATGTGTGTGTATGCATGTGTATGCATATGTATGCATGTGTATGCATGGATAAGATGTAATCACTGAAACTAAATGTAACAATTTGCGTCAACCTAATTTCTTTGTAGGAGGATTTAAAATGAACTTGAGATGGATAAAATCTTGAAGCATATATATATTTTTCTAAGTGAAGGTTTTGAGGTGTTTAATATTTATAATAAACCCCTTTTTAATTAAATAATATAAAAAAAGTTTGATAATATTGGGGGAAGATAAGGTAATTATCAGGGGAAAGCGCTATAAGCTATTACGACATTGTAGCACTTGGAAGGAACAAGAGGAAACGAATCTGGGAAAGGACGGAGGGAAGGAACAGTCCCCCTCATCTACAAGGATCATCGGGGAATCGAACACCTACGTCCAATTCATCAAAACATGAGTGGACAATATTCTGTGAGAAGAGAACCGGAAAAAAATGTTGTTGAAGACAGTAGGAGATGTGAGGAAAATATTAAAACTACGCAAGCCAGAGATTGCGTAGGCATGAGAGGGTAGATCATGTACACAACAGTAGACCTATACTGGCTTACGCCAGGCCCACTTCCATATATACCCAAGCACGTAGAGATGAAAATTTTATTTGTGCAATTTACCGAGACAACCACATCAATATCCCCCACACCTTGGTAGTGTGTTTACCTGTGGACGCCACCGCTTACCAGTCCATATTGACGGATTTTGAGTTAACATTTACTTGTGTCTAATGTGAATCCATTGTTACCATGTCTTGATAGTTTTAATATGTTTAGATTGTCTATATCAGTGCCTTTCCATCAGTCAAAAACAAGTAGCATTAGAATCTACTCTCGTTCTATTACTTTCAGGGGGAACACAACAAAAATAATAATATTAATAAGTAAAATTAAGCACTAAGCCTAACTATATAGTACATGAAAGGGCTATGAGGACACAGTATGAGGAGGCAGAGGCAAGGAAGCCCTACCACTTGAATTATAGGGGATCGAACACCGGCTTGCATGAAGCGAAGCCGTTGCTATACCAACCAGTTAGCACTGGCACCTCCCCCTAGCTCTACACCCTTCAGTGGGGGAACTTTACTTCAGTGCTCTGAATGTATCGTTATAAATAAATAAAAAAAAAACAGAATAACATTGTCAATCTTCATTAAATTTTTTGAAAAGATTCTAAATCCATTCGGTAGTTTCATTACCAAACCTGCAAAGCATATTCCATGTAAGATCTCGTTAGGTCTCCAACAGCCGTGCCTAACAATGTAACTACTCCTTATTTGACGCCTGTGATATGTAGTTGAGAAATATTACATTTCTCAAGGTTTATATATGAGATATGTGCTAAATGTGTGATCTCTTTACCCCCTTGTCCTTGCTGAGACTCTCATGACAGGCGAGAGGTGTAAGACTGACAGGTGAGAGATGTAAGATTGACAGATGAGAGATGCAAAGATAAAGAGCTGGAAATGTGACAGGTTAGAGGAGAGAGAGATTGACAGGATAGGAGGTGGAAGAGTGACACGTTTGCGGTATGCAAGATTGACAGGTGTGTAGTGTGTAAAATACACAGGCGAAAACGTAAGATAAGACTGACATTTGAGCTGTGCAAGATTGCAATATGAGAGACTTACGATTTCCCAAGTGAGGGACTTACGATTTCCCAAGTGAGGAACGTAAGATTTCCCAGGTGAGGGACTTACGATTTCCCAGGTGAGGGACGTAAGATTTCCCAGGTGAGGAACGTAAGATTTCCCAGGTGAGGAACGTAAGATTTCCCAGGTGAGGGACGTAAGATTTACCTTGTAGTGCCCAAGGTTCTCCACAACACAGGTGAGCTTGGCGGTGCGGCCCACCTGTGACGTCACGTTCTGTACTGGCAGCTCAAAATACGGCGAATCTGCGAAAGACGAAATAATTGGCATTAATCTATGTAAATTGGGCGAAATTGGCATTGTTCATTACATAAATTGGGCGAAATTGGCATTTTGCTATCTAAATTGAGCGAAATTGGCATTGTTCATTACATAAATTGGGCAAAATTGGCATTTTGCTATGTAAATTGAGCGAAATTGGCATTGTTCTTTACATAAATTGGGCGAAATTGGCATTAAGCTATGTAAATTGAGCGAAATTGGCATTATTCTTTAAGAAAATTTAATGAAAATGCTTTTATTCTCTAAGAAAATTTTTACAAAGCTTAATATCATTTTGAGCCGGAATCTAGGCCTATTAACCTCGAAGAAGGCTGTTTAATCCATCACAATAGCCCATTAAACCAATCAACAAAGAGTTCTTAATCTGTGAGGACAGGTTAAAAATTCGAAAAGTTGCAGTGAAAAAATCAACTTTTTTTTCATACGAACGCGAAATAAGGCAGTACAAAGTATTAAGAACATAAGAATACATTAAACTGCAAAAGGTCTATTGGCCCATACGAGGCAGCTTTTATATATATCCACCCAAATTCATATATATTTGTCTAACCTACGCCTGAAACAATAATTTTTTTTTGGGGGGGGGGGTGTTTACGCTAGTGTTCATCTGCATAGAACAAGGCCTGTAATGTTTCTCGTGGTCTTTCCTCTTGATGAAGAAAACCATATGAAGCATTTTTTTTTTTTAAGGAATTCATGAATCTGAAATCTCTATCAGGTTACAGAATGAATAAACTATGGTGGCCAAAGAACAAGAAACAAAGTCATTTAAAAATGGATTAGAATTCAAGCAGTTTAGAAATGTCACAACGACAGAACGACGTCCGTGAGAAATGTCAAAAGACTTTAAATTAAATGTGTAGTTTAGCAGTTTTTTAAGCAACTTTGTTTTGTGATACTTTCCAGAGAGAGGAGAAGAGTCATTAAATTTTCAACGCCATATATTGGGATTTAAACATTTCAATTGCCGTTGTCGGAGACAGAAAGGCTCAGTTAAGGCTTAATGAGGTGTCCTAGGTTAATTACCTAGGTAAATTGAAGTATCGGGTGAAATGAAACGTGCTGAACTGTTTCTATCCTGCCTGGAGATTGGAACAGGGTCCATTTGCTGCGAATCGAGGGCACGTAGGCCACTGCGCTACTGGATCCTAAACGAAACAATGTATTTATCAAGAGAGAGAGAGAGAGAGAGAGCGATAAGCCAGTATAACTACATAGCGCTTGAAAGGGATATTAGAACAAAGAACTTGATGACCATCGGGGATTGAACTCCGATCCTGCAAGATGTAAGGCCGTCACTATCCGATCAGTCCAAGTGGGTTCTTCTATTGAAGGAGTCAAGTTAGATACACAGTTGTAGATTAATCAATGTAATTGATTATCAATGTAACTGAGTTCCCCAAGATCAACTTTAGCAACGAGAGACAAGCCGACTTAAATTTTTGGAAAGGTCGTGGTACTGAGTGATGCCAGTGACTTTTCTTTGAAAATAAGCAAGAAGCTTATCTGAAAAGTTTCTTTCTACAAAATCGTACTCAACGAGGGGAAAACCCCGTGACGTACTCATTGAGTGCAGGACCTTTGACGTACTCATTGAGTGTCGGACCTTTGACGTACTCATTGAGTGCAGGACCTTTGACGTACTCATTGAGTGTCGGACCTTTGACGTACTCATTGAGTGCAGGACCTTTGACGTACTCATTGAGTGCAGGACCTTTGACGTACTCATTGAGTGCAGGACCTTTGACGTACTCATTGAGTGCAGGACCTTTGACGTACTCATTGAGTGCAGGACCTTTGACGTACTCATTGAGTGTCGGACCTTTGACGTACTCATTGAGTGCAGGACCTGTGATGCACTCAGAGAAACATACTCGCTATATGACGTTTGTCACAGGAGAGGTCACACACTTTTCTCATCACCAGACGTTTCAGCAAACAACCCAATTGCGTGAAACACACAAGAGTTACATTTTTACGTGCAGTATAAAAAAACAAACAAACCATGTGCTATATATCCCACTCCAATTACACCTCTCGACGAGTTCATGAATATTGTATTTTACCTTCCATCGCAATATTTTTTTTTATTCTGCTTTCCCCGAGACCGTAAGAGCCACGATTTTCAATCAACACTTTATCAAAATAATTTTTACTTCGGCGACTTGATAATGACACGAGCATCACAGAGAGAGAGAAGAGCCCGCTAAACCTACAATGTGCGCTCAAGGGAGGATGCTGTAATCCTTGCTTTATAGCATCGTAATGTTTACAACTCTGAGCTACGAGGTTTTATATTAAGCGCACCGCCAACCTCCACTATTTTGCTCCCCCACATGCGGTAAAATGGTGTATAAGTATTATAAGTATTAACATTACCTCCTTCCTGTTGGTGTGGGAGTTTTAGACCAATCAAAAAAATATGAGGGGGTTATTAAGACCACCACAGGAGTTTACTCACTAAACACCCTGAATACATAAGCCCTGTATATTATTCACAACTAAAGTAAACTCTTGGTTCATACATATATATATATATATATATATATATATATATATATATATATATATATATATATATATATATATATATATATATATATATATATATATATATATATATATATACACCGAGAAACTGGGTATACCTGGCTATACTTCTGTGTATATCCAGTTGCTTTTATGGGTTATTTTTGTAGAAACATGTGTCAGCTCATAATATCTATCAATGGAATTATTTAACCAAGTATATATATTATTTGATACAGCAGGTCCTATGTAGACACGAGGGACAAGATGATCCCTTCTGTGTCTGGCGAATACAGTTTATATGTAGATTCAGAAATATTATTGATGTAAAACTATAGTGACTCCATATGGGATTTTGAATATGACGTCCAAACACAACAATTGTTAACTAAAGTGTCTCGAATATTTACTAAAGAGCATGAAATGTTAATTACAGAGTATCAAATGAATTAGAATTTCGAAAATTGAATTGTTAGAATTGTTAAAGTGAAACAAATGTTTAACTACAGTGTATTAAATGTTGACTAAAGTCTAACCAATGTTGAATAAAATGTATCACTGCATTTTATGAATTTTCCTCCGTTCTGCTGGACCAAGAAATTTACATAACGCATTATAATTTTACAGAGACAAATGTGACACTAACGTAGGTTGGGCCATTAACCCCCCAACCCAACCCTCTCATATTGAATTAAGGTGGCGGCGTTTCGGTCCATCCAGGACGACTGGATCACAGAGTCTAGGAGAATGGATCGAAACGTAGAACTCACTTTCCTTTCTATTTATACGTAGGTTAGGTTAATACAGTATGGCTTATGACGCGGCCCAAAAACAAAGGAAATAAGCCATTTGTTGGTATCAACTGAGACAGACTGACAGACATACAGGAAATCTTGTAGCCACACAATACATAAATATTCAGTTGGAGGCGCCTAGTTAAAACTTTGTCAAATATAAATCTCCTGGAGTCAGGCCCAGAATACCTGTAGCAGGAGGATTTCCCTCCTTCAACTTTGCTTCCGTCTGCAGCTATATTCGCTAAGTTTCCACTATTCTTTCTTGTTCCTGAGTCTCACTGCAGCGCTTCCTTTAGCGTCTGTCTCTCTTCCTCTTCTCTCATGTCACTTCATATCATTCATCCTCGCCTCATGTCGCCTCACTTCGTCTGACATACATCATTTCGCTCGGTGTTTCAATTCCTTTGCCTCCTCTGACTTCACTTGTCATTCACTCAAACAAATAACTCGTTTACTTGAAATTCAACTCGCTTATCCGACCCAAATCATTCCTTCTTGCTTAATCTCAAGAGACCAAACAAAAGGGGTTACATTATACGTCACTGAAAGATAAAAAAAAGGGGGAGATATGATCGCTACATACAAAATTATCATGGGGAAGATACAGGGTTGACAAGAATATATTATTTTGCAGGGAGGTACACGAACACAAACATAAGCCAAAGGCTTATGAACCACACTGGCAGTATATAAATTTGTTTTATTGTTAGAAAATTGAATTAATTCAATACGCCAAGAATTAGAATGGTGGAAAGAAATTCCATACACAGTTTACAATGAATGTCAGTTTACAATGACAGAGCCCAAACGGTTCTGAAACCTAAACCTGACTGCTTGGACAGATCGGTATAAAGCTGACCTCAATTTTTTTGCAGGTCGGCGTTCGATCCCTGATGGTCCTTCAAGGTCTACCTTGCTTTTTACCTTGTGTTGGTTTCGAGGATCAACATCCCCGCAACCTGGTCCAAGCCTCCTGGCTGGTGACCTGGTCCACCAGGATGTTAGACGCGGCTGGTCACAGCCTCACGTATAAATGACAGCCTGGTTGATCAGATATCCTTTGGAAGTACCAAGATCTCTCTCTCTCTCTCTCTCTCTCTCTCTCTCTCTCTCTCTCTCTCTCTCTCTCTCTCTCTCTCTCTCTCTCTCTCTTCTCTCTCTCTCTCTCTCTCTCTCTCTCTCTCTCTCTCTCTCTCTCTCTCGCTCTCTCTCTCTCGCTCTCATCTCTCTCTCTCTCTCTCTTCTCTCTCTCTCTCTCTCTCGCTCTCTCTCTCTCTCTCTCTCTCTCTCTCTATTCTCTCTCTCTCTCTCTCCTCTCTCTCTCTCTCTCTCTCTCTCTCTCTCTCTCTGCTCTCTATCTCGCATCTCTCTCATCCTATCTCTTTCTCTCGCTCTCGCTCTAGCTCTCTCTCGAGCTCTCATTCTCTGTCAAGTACCTATTGCACCTTTGCTTTGCAAAGAGGCTATTTTGGTCTCATGAGGAGTTATTTCCGTGTTTAGCGTGAAACATTATCATGAAATTTTAAGGTCTAGCAATGAACATTACCAGGAAACTTCAAAGTCTACCATTAAACATTACCATGAAACTCGTCAACTTATGTAAACTTGTAAATATAATTTCAAATTATTTTAAGCTT